CGTTATGATGCAGATAGAAAGAGACATAAAACAAAGAATAACATGAGAGATAAAAAGAGAAGATAGAAAGATAGAAACAAAGAATAATAACAGGAAAGAACAGAAGCTGGAAAGGAAAATAAAGAATTTCAAAATGAAAATAGAAAGAGGAAATGATAGAAGTATAAAAGCAAAGAGTAACATACAGAAAATAGAAAGAGAAGAAGGTGGTAGGATAAAAACAAAGAATACCATAAGGAAAGGTAGAAAGTGAAGAAGATAGAAGGAAAATAACATAATCATGATAAGGAAAGATAGAATTATCTGGCGGCCGCCAGACAATTATGACTTGGTTCGTAAGTATATGTAAATTGTATTGGAATGGGAACAAAACAGTTCAGTTCATCTGAAGAGAGAGAGAACCCCTTACACATCAAAATTTGAGCTGAGCCTGAAAGAAACCGGACTTCAAGAAATCTTTTATGAACAAATTCTAAAGGTCCCCTTATTTCAAAGAGCCCGATGACGAGGGCGCTGGCTGGGAGATTAGAGAAACAATACACCTTTTATGAACCAATTCTAAAGGTCTCCTTAATGGTATTTAATGGCATTAACGGATTAAATACTGATTGCATATAGTGCTCGATAAAATCTTGGGTTTGGGCACATTTTCTGATGCAAGTTTCACGTCAATTATAGGACAGGAAGCAATGTGTTTGGACGTGTCGTATGTTTATCATGACGCCGAGAAAATATCGATTGGGAAATTGAGAGAAAACTTCATGTACATCGTTGATTTATCCTTTGTGTTACGATGTAAATCCTACTAACATCGTTTGCCATTATGGATTATTTCGGATAGGAGAGGTGGTGAAAAGAGTAGAAGAAAGATTGGGAAAGAATGAAGTAAACATTTTGCATGAAAAAGCGGGTGAAATAGATGATCAAAATTAGAGGAAGAAAGAGGATGCAAGAGAGAGATGGAGGCTGTTGAAAGATCAGAGGACTGAGTAAATGATACGTTAAGGTAGAATGAGAGAGGATATATGAGAATTGGTGAAAATAGTAAAGCAAGCAGTGGCGGATCCAGGGTTTTCCAATTGAATGAGAGAGATGGTGAAAATAGTAAAGCAAGCAGGGGCGGATCCAGGGTTTTCCAATTGAGGTGGGGGGGGGGGGGGGGCGGAAATTAAAAAACATTCTTGTTGCTCGTGTTGGGGGGGGGTAGTGTGAGCACTACAACTATAATCATGTTTTTACTCAACAGCCCTTCCCCCCCCCCCCCCCCCCCCCCCGTCTTGAGAAAAAAAAGTAACTTTGTGGTTACCATCTTATTTTAAAACTTGTTTGGGCAGGGGTGGGGGCCGTCAGTGTTTTTTGCCAGGGAGGAAAGGCCCCCGTTGCCCCCCCCCCCCCAACCCCTCTATTGGAAAATCCTGAATCCGCCAATGCTTCCTAAATTTTGTTAATTTCCAATCTAAATGGTCCGTACGCTCTAATAATTGAACAATGATGTTCTCATGCCACGTGGCATTACTCTGTATCGTTATCCAGTCACAACAACGGCTTGCAAAATAATGACATATTTATTACATTCCCGCCATGTCCCGAGTCGGCGCTCTCAGAACAAAGGTGCGTAACACTTCGCGGTGTTTTAGAACTTTGGTGTTGATTGACATGACACCACATTTAAGATACGCAATCGGCCTATACAGTGCCTCCCAGGAAAAAAAAAACGAAACCGACAATTGTCAATGTTTTATCATAACTTAATCACAATTATAAGAGGAGAATGGGTATGAAGAAAGGACACTATAGAGAGAGAAAAAGATGGAGAGAAGAAGAGACTGGATAAAGGATACTAAATAGAAGGAAATAGATGGAGAGAAGAAGAGACTGGGTAAGAATAAAGGATACTAAAGAGAGAGGAAATACATGGAGAGAAGAAGAGACTGGGTAGGAATAAAGGATACTAGAGAGAAGGAAATAGATCGGGATGAGAAGAGACTGGGTAGGAATAAATGATACTATAGAGAGGGGAAATAGATGGGGAGAAGAGGAGACCCGGGGAAGAATAACTAGAGAGAGGAAATAGATGGGGAGAAGAGGAGACTCGTTACGAATAAAAGATACTAGAGGAAATAGATGGGGAGAAGAGGAGACTCGTTAAGAGTAAAGGATAATAGAGAGAGGAAGTAGATGGGGGGAAGAGGAGACATTGACGTTGTTATTTTTATGCTTCTACTTCTTTCTCTTGTTTCTCACCCCGCAACTATCTTATTTTTAGTATGTTTGAATATTTACACACATTCGTTCTCATGATTTACCCTTGACATCACTTGGAAATAGCAGTTTTTTCAGCATGTCCGTACTCATCAATATTCATGAGCGCATAATCACGCACGCTGTTATGTTGGCAAGGCTCCAAGAAGTCATGTCATATCGTGGGAACCAAAACTTTCTCCCTGCCTGGGTACGTAGAGACCGTACATTGCGTAACATACACTTTCTTTGTCATCAAGTCACACAGAAGAGATTGAGATAAGAGTCGAGTTGTTAAATGATTTAATTATGTCAAGAAGATAAGAGATAAATTTGTTTCTCTGGGGACTTGCTGGTTGAAGACTGGTGGAATGTGACATGGACCACGCGAGCATAGTAAATCAAGTTTAGGGTGAATTATATCTGCGATCTTTTCTTAGTCTTGCTAATATATTACTTAATCCCGAAATCTTGGTCTTGCTATTTATATTAGTCAATCCCGAACCGAACCAAAGTTCGGGTAAAATAGTGCTGAACTCTACCGAACATGGCGCCTGACTAACGGCACTATTGAGGAAACCAATATTTTGTATTCTTTTATTCTTTTTATTAGAGAGGTTTAAAGAAACCCAACCCAAACACCCGCCTGGTTTGAATGTAAACATCCCATAGCTGTCTATCTCTGTACCCCCTACCATCTTTCTTTCTCTCTCCCTCCCCATCTCTCTCCACCTCGTCTCCCCTCCCTCGCATTTATCTTAGTTATACATTTCTCTTCCTCTCTCCCGTCCTTTTCACCTTTCCTTAAAATCTCACATCATGCTCGTCATTTTCACTGAAATAACAGCCATATTTATCCATATTTTAATTTCATAAACCCATATTAGATGTGATATAACTTTGAAATAATCTTATTAATAACTCTTTTGCAATAAATTTGGCAACAAAAGAACTAACCTCCCTGGTTTTATGTCGAATAAAAGAGTTTCCCAACTCAAAAGTAATTGTATTTTGCTTGCATGCAAACTGAATGTCATAAAATGGAGATACATTGTCATCGAGAGAGGTTTTCCAAAATAACTCATGGCCAAGATTATAATTCGGGGAATTCCTGAGCGCGCGCAGTACATATCAAACGTCAACTACATGTACCTGTATTTGGGCCATGAGGTACATTTGCTGATCGAGATCGTGTTGCTTTTGAATTTTAAAAAATCCAGGTTTGTGAAAATGCTGTTTGCGGTCTGTGGCAAATTTTTGTAGGGCCTCATTTAGGTTCCTTGCTTTGACTTTGGTGATGTAATCAGGGGTGGATCCAGGATTTTCCAATAGAGGAGGTTGAAATATGAAAATCGCGCCGATCGATATTTCGGGGGAGGGGGGAGGGGGATGAGCACTAATTTTTGTTCTTTCTTTTTGGGGGGTAGTGAGCCTAATTTTAGGAGAGTTCGTTGTGCTTTGGCATGCGAAAGAAATTGAATTGGCTTATCGGCAATCTTTACAAATCAATATATATATTTTTTTTTAAAGAAACATGATTTTCAATGCAAACTCATGGACAGCGCTATCAAGAAATGACAAAGGCCGTTTGAGACCATGAAAGATAGAGCATTTCGGAGTGCGATCATGTTATGACCTACGGACGGTTATGCTTCTCCAACTCCAACATTATTAGTAACTGAGCTGATCGAGGCGATTGGAGACGCCGCCCGCCGGCGAGCATCAACTGGTCAGCTAATTTTTATAAGCCCACGTTTTCGCGCGGCGCGATCACAACCTTAGCCGTCGACAGAAATATAAGGAATGAAAGCATTTCTCCCGGCGTCATTCATCGTTTAAGTGATTAAACAATTATGGCAAAGCGACGTGCGAATCCTTCCGTTTGATACATGACAAAGGGAGTGACGTACGTGATGGTTCATTACGAGATTTTCTTGAAAATCTCGTGGTACATTTTCGTGGTAATTACCGCCATTTGTGTACCGCACAGGGAAGAGTTACCGCGGGAGTACCGCGGGACTCAATCTTGGATTGATTCCCGCGAGACCCGGCGGTACGGTGTCTACTTTATTTCGAGCAATACTGTAGTAGGCGGTTTCATCATGTGATCATCATGTATTAGTCAAAACATATTCTTTCACATGATTGGTAATGAGAGCTTCCATTTCATTTTTTGAAATTGGGGCGTTTCCAATACTTGTCTTTACCTTTAAGCATGTGTATTTATCATTGATTTTTGTAGCATTCTTGTGATGTCTGCATGTCTGCATTTCTTTTTTTTAATGTTGGTTTGAATTTTTTTCATTGAAGTTATTTTTTTGATATCATTACACATTACATGCATCTACAGCATGTAGACATTTGGTTTGTTAGGATATAATATCTGACAAGTTTGACATGGAAACAATTCTGGAAATTCAATCTAGGAGGACAAATTTTTGTCATTGTATGTGTACTTTAACTGTACATACATGTAATATTATCATTGATATTGTAATGATCTTTATCTCCACTCATTTTA